AATATGCGAAATACAAAGATGAGCAGAAAGTATAAAATAATTGTCTCAGATACACTGGCAAACATGCCAAAACCATCAAGATGATTAATAACAGATTGCTGAGCCTAAGTTGCAAGTATTAAAGCAAAACAATATAATGACAGATCATAAGATGAAAAAATAAATAAGAATAAAACCGTATTAAGCAGTGAATGATACAAGATAGAAAAAGTTAAACTTTATTTTCCTAGTTTCCTGTAGTAAAGATTGAAGATTTGTAGAAGTCTTGAATGATGTATATAAAAAAAAATCAATATAATTTCTACAAACTTTCGTTATTTTCTTCTAACATCAGATCGCATATCACTGGTGTTGCATTTTGTCATCAAGCCTCATAAAATTCTTTGAGCAAGTTCTTTTTTAATAAAACTTTGGTTGAAACTGCTATACTGAAACCATTCACCAAAATCAATTTATTAAATCACATATGTATCTAGCGTTATCAATAAAGAGATAAATTTCATATTAACGTCTTAATATTTAAATATTACACAATTTCTGTACGATTAGGTTAATTTTGGAAATATAGCCTTTTAAATTTACTCAACAGGGTTTTGGTTCTTGGAGAGGTGTATATTTGAAATAGAAAACTGTATCTAAAGAAATGTCAATATAAATTAAAATCAACTAGCTAAAAAATGCAAAGTAAAAGAATTAACGGGTTAATGGTTAAATAAAAAACTGAAAAATGGTAATTTTCTTTTTATATTAAAAAAAAAAAAAAAAAATCAATTTTACGAATACACAAAAATAATTAGATAAAATTATTTATTTATTTTACAAAATTTGAATTTTTTAGGAGAACCAACCCTCTATTGTACTTAATATTACATGAATTATTTTACACTATAAAAAATGATACAATTTTATAAATATTAAAATCTTTCATTTCTATATTTCAACAAATATCTGATGGAACAACAAATACACATTATGAAATATGACAAATATGTATTTTTTACATAACATGTTTATACAAGGTGATGCAAAAGACTGGAATTAAAGGCGACAGTAATTCAGATTTTTTATAGTTCAATGCAGGATTTAATGGGTGGCACACTAGCAGTAACTAATATCTATTAATACATCTTTATTTAAATCACAGTGGGGTATCGTGTCTTATGTTTGGCGAGTTATTATCTATCACCTCTAAATACAAATTATCTTTTAATAACCTTCCTAAATTTGTTAATAATTTTTACTTCAATAGTTTAAAAGATAAGAAATCTGGACTGTTATTGAAATACATGTAATTATAAAATAGATTAGTCTTGGGAATCTTCTAAAATTTGCAAAATTACTATTTAGAGTGAAATGTTCGAAACAGTTTATCCATAAAAGCGAGAGTATTAATAAATAGATTTTAAAAATTTAAGTTAATTCACCCGTACTCCACTATTTTTTTTTTAATAGCTCATGTACAAATCTAGAAGATTCCTAATTAATCGTAAACAAACAACCAACAAGTACCTTGGTTCGCGTTGTTGCTAACTTTCGTTTGTGCCTGATCTAATTTTTAGAGTAATGACAAATATTACAAATTGGGACACATTTGGGTCCCAAAATTATCGCAATGACCTCGTCTCTTTATATTGGAGAGTTAAGATTGATCCCAAAATTTTTTGATGTATTAGAAAGGCTCTCAAAATGATTGAAAAAGGAACATTCTCTAATTGCACAGACGTAACAACCATAAAAATTCAATACTCTTTATAGGAAAGTTATCTAATGTACTGCGACCTAAAAGATCTTTTGTCCCCTTATGTCGTCCATGCAGCAGGGAATAATCTCAATGCCTATAACGACCCTTCCAATCATATCTTCTCAAGAAAATGTAGGATTTTGAGTGGCTCCAAGTTAGGAAGATCACTCTCCTATATTTGGTATGCTCCTAAGTATAGTGCACTTGGATTCTCAAGTGCTGCACAGTCAGTCAGGGGCCCTATCCTCGGCTATCGTTTTCTAAAAAACGTATACGCTTTAGCAACATACGAGCTATTCGCTATTCTCGACATTCGTTTTAAAAGCGTGTACGCTTTTAAAACGGGTGTTTTACAGCGAGCGGAATTTTTCACACGTTTTTGATAAAACGTGCATGTTTTCAAGGATTTAGTCAATGTCACTTATATGTCACTTTTAGGACGATTAATAATATTGATTGATTTTAACAAATTCTAGGTAAACTACTTTTTATTAATACCTACAAAAGTATCTAATTTCTTATAAATATGGTTTGCTGTACTAAAGAAGTAGATTAGCTGAGAATTTCTTTCAATTATATTATCAATAATTGTACAATTAGAAAACTTAGAAGATAAGAATCAGACTTGCAGAGGCAGAATCCAGTTTTTGATTTTAACTGATATTGAGTGAATATTTTTTATATCTTACCGTGTAAGAATTTAATTATTAATTCATGTATGTTTTATTTACAATGTTAATTTGCTTGCGGTTCAAAGCTCTTCTGTATCACACGTTGTGTCCAGAAATTTTTACAATTTTGTAAAATTGCCACAAAATATTAAAGAACTGAATAAGATAAGCAAAGTTATTAGTTAAATGAATTTTTTACCATAAAAACTAGGTTTTTATGACGTACGATTTTCCTAGAATTATAGATTGCATTAACTGCACCCGTATAGCTATTTTTACGCCAACAATTAACGATTCAGATTATCCTGAACATCGATATATATTATGTGATTAGAAAAAATCATCGTTCGACAAATTTACAATTGGTTTGTTGTAATTAAATTACATAATCCTTATTCTTTTATGGCCTGCACATTACTTGAATTCAATGATATAGACAGTTTACAGTGATGCCAGACATATTATTTGCTTGTTAAAAACGTACACGTCTTAAAAAACGAATACTCATCGAACGTCAGTCAAGAATATAGATTTCAAAAACTACTCGCTTTTCAACCTCTCACTTTCGAAAACGGTTCGTTTTTTAGCGATTGTCGAGGATAGCTGCCCAGAATGGAGGTTTCGTCATCCTCATCACTGAATCTGCACTCATTATCTTATACTAATATCAGTTTTACCTTTGAGTCGGTAATGAGCTCTGTTACAATGGGTGGCCTGTACTTGTTCAGACAGATACATAAAAAAGTTTGAACTATATTAATATAATTTTATTCAGAGATATTCACTTTAATCTTTGCTGATATTTTGATCAACATAAAGCACAACACCACTCTCATTAAAAATATATTTGTCAAGCTTCTCTCAAGCAAGTGAAATAACACTAGTGTGCATGAATGAAATATTACTACCAAGTTTACGTTTTCTACCGAAGGGAAGAAGACCGAGAAGGAAATGAACGGAAGTTTGCAAGATGATGAAAAACAAAGGATTGGAAGTCTAGCAACAGGAAGAGCAAAATGGAAAAAAACTTAAAAGCTATAGGCCCGAGGGTCTTTTTAAGCTTTATTTTATTTTGAGATATTCATTGTAGTCTGATATCTGATATCTTTGCCAATATATTGTTCAACATAATATAGCAGTCACTCTCGTTAAAAATATGACCCGTGTCAGACATTCTCAAATGATTTAAATAACACTAGTTTGTGTGAATGAAATATTACTAAATGTTTTACCCTATATACCTGCTTACTGGGTGTTTGAGGAATGCAAATGATTCGATAGCACCATATACATACAAAACTTTTATAAATGCATATTTTACTTCATTTACTATCAATTTTTTCCATTTTATTAATAAAAATAGGTCTAGCACTTAACAAATAAAATCACAGACTCAATAAATTAATACCAATTGACATGTAAAGCACAACTGTATTATAATGACTTGATGACAAGAATACTACTTAAATACTTAGTGGACGCTCATGAGATCCTTTTAAAATGGAATGTAGTGCTTTCTCCCTTAGATTTATTGTTATTAATTTCTCTTTAGTAAGGAGGTTTTACAAAGACAAGCAGTAGTCTGTTGTAATGTCGGGCGCCTATTAAACGATTTTCCAGTGTTAACCTTGTTTCCAATTTCAAATTATTATATGATTATCTTTAATTAATATTTCTCATACAGTTTGTTACAAACTGGTAATAGGGCTTTACATTATGGGGTTTCCAAATTGTCAATACTGTTGGATTTGATGTTGGTTTAAGAATCAAGCCTATAATAATGATCAGAAAAAGGGAAAATTAAGTCATAATTTTAGAATTTCAATGCTAAAATTGGTGCCACCCGTTTTTGGACATTATACATTCCTGAACTTAATATGTACATGTATTTTAAAACACCATGTATATCCTATATTTTTACAAAAACATTTTTTTTTCCAGAATTTAGCTATACCATGTATAAATGATTAAGAAGCAGCTACTAATCTAATTAATATATAAATCTATTTTCTAGCTTTTACAAGAAATCAATCACACATAATAATACTCACCTTAAAAGTTATTCAAATTGTTTTCTAAAAATTATTTTAAATTTAACAGATCTTTAGACACAGCATTTCAAAAAAAAAAAAACAAAAACATTAAATTAAAAGAAAAAGTCAACAAATTTTATCACCACTTTTATTAAATCTTAATATACAAAAATTCTATGTGATAATCCAGAATTTCCTTCTACATCTTTTACGATTATAATAACCTTTCCAGATACCAACTAAACCCTTGCAGAGACGGATAAACTGTGTGGAGGAAATCACGAATGAACGACGACCCTCGGTGCTCTCCGAAATGGGGAGACCTCGGGCCTCCATACAGCCACACGCCTCACGAATTATAAAACACTAACTATATTTATATTCCAAAACTAAAAAAATACACTAGGGATTAACCGAAACAACAATTATTTAAAAAATTGACACTCAGAGAGTTCGTAGATATATTTTTGTAGTAAATAGAGGGCAGCGTGCCGTGAACGGCGTGGTCCTAAAGAAACGTATTGGCGCACAATATTCGCATATATATGTCACGGGTTCAGCATAGAAAGCTAATACTCACACCAGTAGACCTTCAGGAGGGACGTCGTAGTTAACACACCAACACTCTGTATACTGTTTCGCTTTTATATGAGATCTGCGACGTTCATGGGCATTTCGTCTATCTTCGTATTGTAAAACTGCTCAATGTCCTTCAGCGTACGCTTGTCGTCTTCCGTAACAAAATTTATTGCTACCCCCTTACGACCGAACCGACCGCCTCGACCAATCCTGGAAAAGAAAATTCGATCATTTACCAAAAATTACCATCTCAATATGTTAAATCGTTTATTAAAAAACTTCAGACAAAAGAGGGTTAACATCAGCACTCTCAGCGATCTTGGTGGAAAAGATGTCATCATGTAACAGAATTTTATTAAAAAAAAATTTTTTTTTTTGTATAATATGAAGATCGGAATGTAGTCAGTGTATTTATATTTGCCTCTCTATACTGAAATTCATCATTAATAGGTAGTAGAAAACTGTTACGAATTGTTATATATTGAAATACAAATAAAATGTTTAAGATACATAATTATTTTTGTTTAACACCAATACAAGGTGAATGCTAAATTGATACTTTCTTGTCATTAAAATTAAAAAAGTATCCACTGTTGATCACATTCATGCCATTGTAAGAACCATTCACAAAACTGAACTCTGCAACAAGTTGTAGTACTTGAACACTTTGAACGGGAAAGGGTTACAACTGATTTTCTCACAAATTTGTCCACATTTTTCTTTGACTAAGTCCCACTTGATCTGCAATCACTCTTATACTTTCTTTTTCCTTGATAACATTTTTTTCCTCCTTTATTGGCAATGGACGTTGGTCCTTCAGTCATACACAAATTAAAAGGTATTACGTTTAAATGTTAGATATTAATATTATTTTTACTTATATAATCTACCAATAAATCATACACAAATTGATTTCCAGTTGCGAGCAACACCTTAATTGATAACATTTAAAATGTGTTTTTCTAAACGCACTTCATATTGAATTTACGGTACTGAACAATAATTTAAATTTACTATTTCAGATAAACACGCTACTGAAATCACGCGCGACTGAATGACAATAATTGGTACACAATGGATCATAATTAATGATAAAAAAATATATATAAAACAAACCCATTTATAATTTGCCTTAAAATCTCATAAACAAGTCCTGGCCCATATTTAGATTTTTTTAATTATGTATCTTTCTTATTTTCGAGTTTTTTGAAAAAAGTTATTTGAAAAAGACGTTTATTTTAACGACTTCTATACACAGTTAAAAAAGTATTATCGTAGGATGTACCCTGTATATCAGATCTAAGATTATTTGCCTCAGAGGTAAATTACAATACTTAAATTTGAGGTACTGCATTTAATATTTTTTTAATAAAATCAGATCATATATGTACATAATCATTTTACATCTGACATCTAAGCTAAGATGCATTGGAAAATGTCTCATTTTTTTTCTTAAGACCAGTGTTATTGTCCCCATACATAAAGGCGGCAGTAACTACGATCCTTCGAACTTCAGGCCTATATCTCTCATTCCTACAGTGGCCAAAATTATTGAAAAAGTTGTAAAAAAACGTTTGATTCATTATCTAGAAACTCACAAATTGCTGGAAACACAACAGTTTGGTTTTCAAAGGAACAAAAGTACTTCTGATGCGATATTTTCTTATCTTGAACATGCTTATTCTAGAATTAATGTTGACGATTCTGTAGCGGCGATATTCTGTGATTTAACTAAGGCGTTCGATTGCGTCAATCATACAGTACTGTTGGATAAACTTCGAGTTTACGGGATCAAAAACGGAGCGCTGAGTTGGGTAAAATCTTATCTTTCAGAACGTAAGCAAATGGTAAGAGCGTCTCAGGATTCTCAAGTTTTAGATATTAGTTGGGGTGTCCCTCAGGGTTCTGTGTTAGGTCCCATATTATTTCTCCTTTATGTGAATGACTTAGCTCAACTTGAAATTGCAGGTACTTTCACTCTATTTGCAGATGATACTACGATTTTATGGCACAGCAATGACACTTCTGTCCTATACAACACCATATCCTGTGACATTAAGAAAATCAAAGCATGGTGCGATGCCAACTATTTGCGTCTTAATATGGGAAAAACTAAAATGCTAACCCTTAAATGTTCCCTACCAAATATTCAGTTGGGAAGTCATATTATTGAATGTACTGACACAATAAAATTTCTGGGAATTAATTTAGATAATAATTTGAAATTTAGAAACCATATAGAATTGCTAAACAGAAAACTTTCTTCTGGATGTTTTGCAGTCAGAACTGTGGCAAAAGAACTAGGTTTTAAGGCAGCAAAAAGTGTGTATTACGCCCTAGTTGAGTCCCATTTGAGATATGGAATTGCATTTTGGGGAGGTTGCAGCCGCGAATTATTCAATACTGTTTTTTGTCTGCAAAAGAGAGCAATACGATTTTTATGTGGAATGAACAAGCTTGAGTCATGTCAGCCACATTTTATTAGACATGAAATTTTAACATTAACATCGTTGTTCATTCTTGAAACCACTTGTATTATACATAAAAATAAATCGAACTATGTCAATACTAACGCTCGGCTAACGCGACAAGTTGACAACCTGCGGTTGCCCATACCCAAATCTGAACTGGTAAGGGGCTCTTTCATTTATAATGGGATTAAAATGTACAATAAGTTGCCAAATGCTATTAAATCGACGGAAACGGTCACAACATTTAAAATACTGCTTAGAGATATGTTGATGACAAAAGCATATTATGCTTTGACGGAATTTTACAATGACTCTTAAATCGTTGTGACTGTTTGAACGTACATGTTTTTGTATTTATATAATTTTATCGATGTTGTGTTACGTATTTGTATTTGTAATTAACCTCTAATTTTATATTTAACGTTTTTATACAATTTTTAAATTTTTATGCATGTAATTGTTAGTACTACATAATAATTATATTTATAAGTGTTTGTCTATAAGTTCTTGTAGCTTTGACAATAAACATATATTGATTGATTGATTTAACAAGACAAATGCTATAGGCCATGTTACACCAAAGTATTTAAATACATCCTTGTATTCATAGTTGTAGTGCGTCGTCAATAATAGAGATCAGTATCAGTGGCAGTGGATGTAGAGCACAAGTAGAAGTTGGAAAGGCTTTTGGGGATAAACGTCAAACCACGTCGGACAGCTTCGAGAATTTCCCAGTAATGTTTATCTGCCAGTGTTGTTTCATAGAATAAGTAATTTTAAATTGATACCGGGGGAACTGGACAATCGCATGTATGTATGGACTATAAATAATTATTAAACATTTAATATAATATTCAGATAATTTTACAAAATTTTAACAGCTATTCACAACTTATTAAACTATTTACTCAAAATTGTTATTAACATTTATAAAATAATTTTGTACGCCAATGTATCGCGTCCACTTCGGTTAGATCCGCCTGAAACCTGTCAATTTATGTGTATAAAGTGGGAGAACTGGCAAAGGCCTTTCCAACTTCTACCTCTGCTATATACGATTTTTTTAATTTTTTTTTTTTTAACTTATTTAAAAATGAATCATTAGTTACCCAGTTCAACCCTTCTACGAAACGGCATAATTTCTCGGAAGCGGAACATAAATTCGTATACGATTGTATTCACGAACCTTTTCCAGGTTATCTAGTAAACGAGGCGGCAAAATTTTCTGGGAAATTAAAGAAAATTTCAAACAGAAGATTTATCGAGCATTAAAATCATATAATATAAAAAGAAAAAAAAAAAATGAAAAAAAAAAAAGGACAAACAAATAAGTTTAGGTTTGTTTAACACACGATTCGGCGAAAATATATATTTTTTTACTTAGTAATGAAATCCCACTGGAAATAAAACAGTGCAGAGTTAAACGAGGAATCCGGATTTGCTAAAAATAAAGTGTGGAATCCTAAAACATATACTGTATCAAATTATAATGCCCAATGGGAAAAAAAAGCATATATTTTGAAATAGAAAATATTTAATGGAAATTCGTAGATATCGCAATGAGAGAAAACATTTTTATTATTTGGACAAAACCTGGGTTGATCAAGGATACAAAATTTAAATATTATTCGAGTTCCAGGTAATGGAGGTAAATACTCATATTGGCAGCAACACAGTTTATTGAAAGAAATTAATGAATTAATACATGATTAATCAAACTTATAATAAACTAGCTGACCCGATCCCGCTTCGCTGGAATTTTTCAAACCTCAATTATTAAAAGTGAATAACAGTGAATAACTCAAGAGAAATTTTTTCATGTGATACCTGCCAATTTTTTTTATTAATTTTTATTAACTTTTAATTAAGTGTTATTAAGTTTTAATTTTTATTAATTTAATTTTCAATAATTTTCATAAATTTTTATTCATTTTTATTAATTTTTTCTGATAACTTTTAATGATTTTTATTATTTTTTTTTATTAAATATAATTTATTTATTTTCACGATACTCATTTCCCCCCTCCTTAAAATGTGAAAATCCAAAACCTTGAGATTTAAACTTTCACCTTCTGTTTCCCCCCTTAATATGTAAAAATCCAAATACCTTAAAACAAGTCTATTTAATTATGATGAGTAACTACAATTCCAAGTTACTACCATACAAACTTTCACCCCCACATAATTCCCCCACTTTCCTTCATTTCCCCCTTTACCCCCATTTTCCCTTCTTAAAATATGAACAATCCAAAAACCTGAAACACGTCATTATTTATTTATGCTCAGTAGCAGTATTTCAAATTTTCATGTTTCACTACCACTATGCAAAAAATCAGGTCCTATCCCTTGCTCTGTGAAAAATAAAAACAAATCGATCCCACGGGAATTGTATATTTTTTCCGGATGAAAAGTAGCCTATGTGCTATTCCAGACTATAATCTATATTTGTGTCAAATTTCATCCAGATCCGTTCAGCCGTTCTTGCGTGATTTAACAACAAACATCCACCCATCCATACAACCTTTCGCGTCTGTATATTTGTAGGATTACAAGGTTGATGAAAAAACTAAACGATTTAAACTTTGTAAGAATTATATAAAAAAGTGTATTAATAAATCGCCTATATTAATAAGAGTAATTATAAAATCGAGTCGACCTTTTAGAAGGCAATGACAAATTACTGAGTGCATATTTGCTTCTCTAATTTAGATGTTCGAACCCGGCGTAAAACTGTAGGACCCACATGTCTTCCTGGAATTATTACATACAAAAATTGTATTTTGTATACAATGCATAATAATTTAATTTACTTCTATCAATAAGTATAAATTTCCATTAGTTAGAAAGATATTGGGTCTATTTTGTAATGATTCCTTTACATTTTAATATCTGTGTCCTTCAAAAATATTTTCCTATTGTACATATTACAGATCAATAAATTAAGCTTAAAAAAAATTCTTATCAGTACTTAATTTCTATAAAATTGTTTTTGGGGCTGGATATTTTTCTTATCTTCACATTTATTATCAGGAAGGTTCAAAGATAAATTTAAATATTTTTGTTTTAAGTGTAAAACAACATTAGGAAGTATATGTTATAAAAACAATTCATATTTGACAAAGAAATTTAAAATTACTGATGACGGAATTAAAATTTTGTCATTCATAAAATGATTGCCAGATGAATAAATCATCAATATGATTTATAAGATTTCTGCATAGTATGAATGATCGATGTAATTAATAAGTAAATACATATGGTTTTAGGTGAAATCAGATAATTTTAAATTTGATAAAAATAACTAGAGATTGACTGTATTTTATAATATTAAAAATCCAGAGGAAAATTAGTTATTATTTTGTAATAATAATAATTATTATTATTTAATTAGTAAGTATACTTAACAAGAACGATTAATTGAGGTTATTAATGAGGGTATTTAATTATCAATATTAATAATAACGGCGATATTCATTATTTGTAATAAGGTCAAAGATCTTAAAAATTTTATTTTTTGCCTTATCACAATGGATTAATTAAAAAAGTATTTTTTAATAGAAGTCCTCAACATAATTGATGGAAAATTATATAATATCTGAAAGAATATTTAAAGAAAATATTATTGAGTTATTATTGAAATTATTATCAATAGATATTAATTATCAATTAACGACGATTTAAAAAGGATGTCTTGATTTGTTTATTTCTTTGTTGTATTAATTGAATAATTGACAAAAATGTATAGTTTCAGTAATCCCAGAAAATTAAATTACTATTTAATCTGTGAAGGCATAGTCATTTAACAAAATCAATAGTGATAATTATTGAGTTTAGACATTAAAAACAGTGATTAATTATCAATATTATTAACGAGAACGATTAATTAAATACCGGCAATTAATAATTGATATTAATAAGACCGATTAATTATCTTTATAATTAATCGTCAATTATTAAATTAATGAAAATCTGAGATCAATAATTACCAAGACGTTTTCTAACGATATTAATAAACTATTATTCAAATTATAAATATAGGAGTGAAAAATAAATTAAATCATTTAATATCTGAGAAGATAAACATAAAACATCACACTTTTAAAGTATTCAAACTAATGGGCAAAACATTTTTAACGAATCAAAAACTTAAAATTAGGGGATTCCCGCAAAATTACATGATTTAATTATTGAAGGAATAATTATTTAACATAAAATTATATAAAAGTTAGTAACTATTTATCACATTTTGGACATTAAAAGCAGTGTTATTGATATTATTAACGAAAGTGATTGATTAATTCTATACCATTTGTGAATAAGTGGGTAAGTCAAATTTTAGTAAAAATGAGATATATCTACATATATCTATAGGGCTCTTCCCATTTTGTCTAGTGAATAAATGGGCGATTCAAATTCGAAATAGTTTACTTCAGAGGACGCCGTAAATAGTTGGATTTCTCTAATTTTTTGTGCCAAAACCGGTAACTACAGCTATCCCCGGATTTGGAAGAGGTTTATCCAAATGAAAAGTCGTTTTTTAGTTTTCTATTCCAATCAAAATATGTTAAGTTCACTTTGCTTTTCATGAATAAATAAAAATATTAAAAAAATATTTGTCGCGTTTATTTGTACTAGAATAAGTCAGTAACGCAACAACACATATTTGGGCTCAATAAATAGGCGTCAGATTTTTTCCAGTAAGTAATATAATTTCACAGGTTATAATTATTTACATGGTAGGTTTCATAATTAACAACCTATTTCTAAAACACGAAATTCAACTTAAAATTTGTGTTTTTTAAAAATATCAAAACAGACTTTGATGTTTTACGTTAGAACTGTCAAAACATTAAAGTGAAAAATCCTTTTAACTTATTTTTATATAAAATTGAATTCTCTACCAAAAAGATCTGATTGAAAATTTTCGTCAGACGAGCCGTTTCCGAGTAATTGAGCTTAATAGATCGATGTGTCTTTTCTATTCACAGATGGTAGAGAATTATTTACCAATATTATTAACGACAATTAATTGATATATCTCGAGAATTAATCGCCAATTATTAAATAGATATTAATGAACGATTGATCAAACTTATAAATACAGTATGAAAGGAAAATTAAGTGATTCAAATATCTAAACAATAAAAATAAAATTTCGAACTTTGAAAAAAAAATTGATAAACTATTCTTTTAAATTTAAAGGAATCCTTAATAACAATTAATCAAAAACTTATGATTACGGGATTCCCAGAAAATCAAATGATAGTGATTATTAACGAGTGCGATTAATTACGGACATTATTAATGGTTATTCATATTTATTGAGTTGTTTTCTTATATTAATAAACGATTAACCAAACTTAAAAATTATTATTAGCAATATTAGCAATTATTTATTGGGTTTAGACATTAAAAGCAGTGAATAATTATCGATATTATTAAATATAGTGATTAATTATAGAGATAATTTAAATTGAAGGAAATCTGATTTCAATAATTATCCTGACATTTTCTAACAATATTAGTAAACGATTAATTAAACTTATAAATACAGAGTTGAAAGAAAATTAATTAAATAATTTAATTTATGAAAAATATTTTTGAAAAATTTCTGTAGTGTTAAAAAATTAAGAGGATTTTTAACTTTATTATTATACAAATAGTTCCTTAGCACTTAGACTAAAAAGCATATTAATTATTTACTAAATGGAACTTTTTGTGATGAGATCATTGCTAAATTATCTTCTTGGGTTGGTTATTTGTTGTATAGCAATAATATGCATAATTTTTAGCATTTAGCATAAATTATTTATATTTTGTATCATCCAATTAAATTAATTATGAATTTAATTTGTACATTATTTTTGAACTTTTATTAATGAAATTCAACATTCCAGATCTATTATATTATACAAATACTTTCTTTAATAGTAATCTTTTCTTTGTATAAATCAAAAACGATGCATATGTAATATAAAGGAAACTACTGACCTGTGTATGTAATTTTCTCTATTTGAAGGCAAATCATAATTAATAACTAGGGACACTTGTTGTACATCAATACCTCTGGCCAACAAATCAGTGGTGATCAGAACTCTAGAGGATCCGGTCCTAAACTGTCTCATAATAACGTCACGTTCTCTTTGTTCCATATCACCGTGCATCGCTGACACAGTGAAGTCTCTTTTGTGCATGTTTTCAGTCAGCCAGTCGACCTTAAAACCGATAGACAAAAAAAGGTATTTTTCATATTTAAAAATTCGTTTTTAAGAATTACCCACCTTGCGACGTGTGTTACAAAAGATTACGGCCTGCGTAATCGAGAGAGTATCATAGAGATCACACAATGTTTCCAATTTCCAGTCTTCGCGTTCGACGTAAACAAAGAACTGCTTTATACCTTCCAGTGTGAGTTCCTCTTTTTTGACGAGAATCCTCACAGGGCTGCGCATAAATGATTTAGTAACGTCTAGCACGTCATTGGGCATAGTAGCGGAAAGCAGAATGACCTGAGAAATGCCAAAAATTCAATTTCTATAATTTGAAAATTCAGTTGTAGTAATTGATGTTTTTTTTTTTAATTTTTAACATTGTCACTAAATATAAACTACAAACTTTAAAATAGTGGAAAAACAATCTAAAACTGAAATTGAAAAGTAATGTCATTAGTTTATATCAACCTATTATTGATTTGAATTATCTTGAATGTGATCAAATTACTCCAACAAAATAAAAAAAATCCCAAAATCTGTACATTGTAATTTATTGAAATTTAGGAAGATAAGTGACTAGTGTCAGTCAGTATGGCCATCCTCATGCCTACAATACAAATAAATATCAATATTAATATCAATATTGAACTAAGAAAAATATGAAAAATCAAAATGCAGGAAGTGAAAGGAGAAAATGTCCTACAATAAGAAATAAGGAAATTGAAAAAATAGCGAACATAAGTACATTTCGAGAGATCAAAATTTAAATTCATATTAAATAAATACCGATAATACATATTTTTGATAAAACAAAAAAAATATATTTCAGTATTCTGCATAAAAGTGGCTGAATATAAAAAAAATATTTTTGATTTTTTTTTTTTTAATTTTTTGTTAGTCTGAAAAACGAAATTTCCGGGCAGATATACGAAAACGTTCAAAGTAATAAAAATGCACAAATTAAAATTGTGAAATTTTAAAATTAACCACTTCAAAAATTGGTTTACCAAAATAATATTAATAATAGCAATAAAGTTAAAAATTAATTAAATAGGACCTGTAATATCAATGACCATAAACTTAAGAACATAAATTTAAATGATCCGATTATGAAAGTCTATGTATGCATAGGTCCATGGTACTGATTGAATTTTGTATTTGTATTGCAGGCCTGAAGAATACCATAATGGCCAAAACATGAATTATATGTAATACAGGTTTTGTAATATTTTTATTTTTTTTTAAATTATTCTTATTGTGTGTACTATTTATGTAATAATTACTGGTAGTGTCAGATTTTGTTACCCACAAATCGTAACTCTTAGAGAAAAAGGATATTTAATAATTCCAATTATTTGACTTTCATTTTGTTAAATGTTTCATACAAATATTTCAAAGTTTTATTTATTACAAATCTTCCATTATTTAACTTTTTTTTGAATGAATAAAAATACAAATGCAGAAAAGTTTAAATAAAATATTTATCTAGTCAAAGAGAAAGTTTTAAATGTATAATAGTATATCCTTTTCCTTGAATTAAAATTAAGGACAATGATATTTTATAATAAATACAAAATTGGAAAACCCTAAACTCATAATGATATTTAAATTACTTTTAAATTTCTATAAGTGCATAGAAATGAAACCCAGGTATATGAAAAAATAATTTTTCTAAGAATTTACCCATCACTCTTCAGGTAATAAATTGGTCTTAATCCCTTAATCCTTTAAATATTTAATAAATTCCTACCTGTACATCAGAGTTCAACATTTTAAAGACATCATGGATTTGATCTTTGAACCCTCTGGACAACATCTCATCAGCTTCATCCAAGACAAACATTTTAATATGGGTTGTTCTCAAAGCCCGTCTAGTAATCATATCGTAGACCCTACCTGGGGTACCAACAACGACATGTACCCCAGTTTCTAGCTTTCTCATATCTTCTCTAACGTTAGTTCCTCCAATACAAGCGTGGCATTGAGCGGACATGAAATCTCCTAATGCAATCACTACCTTCTGAATTTGTTGCGCTAATTCACGAGTTGGAGCCAAAATCAAAGCCTGGCATTCCCTCACCGCCGCGTCTATTTGTTGTAAAATGGAAATTGAAAAGGTGGCAGTCTTTCCTGTACCAGACTGAGCTTGAGCGATTACGTCATGACCCTTGACGCAAGGTATGATTGCTCTTTGTTGGATGGCCGATGGTTTTTCAAAACCATAAGCGTAAATACCTCTAAGGAGTTCCTCTTTTAAGTTCATGTCATCGAAGTTGTCCACAACTTCTTCCCAGTTCGACTCGATGATGCCATCAGGCTCCATGCCTGGTGGACCATCGTACCCTTGGGAATCCTTCTCATCATTCGCTGGACCATTTTTGTCCCAATCATCATTACTACAAAACAAGGATTATCTATCAACGATTTATCAAAATTGTTGATTTAATTTTCTTAGACTAAATACTATTTATTTACCTTTTTTTTAATTATACTTTATTGGGATATCATTAAGGAATTAAATTATAAAACAGGTTTGTATTATAGTGATCAAGTGAATAACTAAGTAGGGAGTGATAAATTATATTTTCAACCTATAGTGACCAGTAGTATCTATCCTATTCTATTCAAGAATAGGTGCATGTCTTACAATTTAGATATCAGATAAACATTTTACTGAAGTATACACTGTTTTGAAGATTTGGTTAATTATTGTGTCTCCTAAATAGTTCTGAATGAGAAACTCTAAAATCCAAATAACTTAGTTATGAAAAATTAGTCATATTTATTTAAATAGCTGAAGCTGGACCTAACATGGATGTGAGTTATATCACAATAAATCTTCAAACAAGAAGAGGGCAATGACTTATCAATAGAAGATTGCAAGAACAAACATTAAAATGTATTAACATTATAAATAAATTAATATGCTGTATTAGTGTAACAAAAACAAAACTGTCATTGATTTTGAAATATATACATTGAGTTTTTTTTTGTTTTTAAATAAGTATTGTTTGCAAGTTGTAAAAAGTAGTTTACAGATATTTAACCAAATTAGTGGAATACTTTTGGATGGATATAATTTTGATAATAGAAACAAAATGTAACCTCTATTTTTATTTGTTTTACAGAATTGATTACTAAACAACAATTTAACTACAATGTTATCTAAAAAGTATATTGTTTTTTAATGACTAAAATCACTTAATGAAATTATTAAAGTTCAAAAACTAGATATTTAACCTATAAACAAGTTTGTTTGGCACAAAAATTACATCATTAGTAATAAAAGTGCAATAATAGAAAGAAACTACATATTAAATTAATATTGTCAAAACTAAAACCAAATAATAAAGAAGAAGTACTAAATATAAACCAGCATCATACACTAAAGAATTCTTGTATAAAAATAATAACTTTTGCAAAAGTTCGACATTTCCCTGCCATTCCTTGACCATTCCAAATTCCCTAATATTCCAGAAAATAATCACCATACTCTCATTGTGACTTTTATAAGCAAAACTTTAGTGTAAAAACAAGTACAAAACCCTTGTTAAAGTGGTTTCAAAGTTGATTCAAAAAGCAATAACAATTATGTACATGATTCTACCTAGGTAGTAACCTTGAATAATTAATGCTCGAGATATAAACTTTTCCACAGAACAATTCTTTTATCACAATCGTTTTGAAACGCTTTTTCTTTGTATCAATAACAACATACCAAAAGTACATTTTTACATGTTCCTACATTTAAATATAAGAATACAAATGTAATAACAATTACATACATGATCCTGAATAAATATTGCTCAAGAAATAAACATTTGTACAGAAAAATTAACAGTCTAAAAAAATAATAAAGAACCAAAGTACTAGATCAAAAACAATATCATATACAAAAGAATTCTTGCATAAATTTTTCCAAGAGCTCAACGTTTCCCTGTCTTTCCATTACCAATTCAAACTTCCAACATCCCAGAAAATAGTCACCCTACCCTGGTTGGCTTTTATAAGCACATATTCTATGTAGAAACAAGTTCAAAAACCTTCAGCTTGTTCTTTGATGACTCAAAAAGAGGTTTCAAAGTTGTTTCCAACACTAATAACAATTACAACATGATTCTACCTAGTTTACTTGAATAATTGATTCTTGAGAAATAAACTTTTGCACAGAAACTTTCTTAAAATTATCAATCTAAAACAAATATCAAAGAACCACCGTACTAGATTAAAAACAACATATTAAAAAAACTCCACATTTTCAGGTCTTTCCACTACCCATCCAAACATTCCAGAAAATAGCCACCCTACCCTGATTTTAGCTTTTATAAGCACTAAGCACACATTTTTAGTAAAAACAAGTTCAAAAACCTTCAGCTTATTCTTCAATGACTCACAAAGTGGTTTCAAAGTTGATTCTAAAACCAATAGTAATTACAATATTCTACCAGTTACCTTGAACAATAAATGCTTGAGAAATAAACTTTTAAACAGAAAAATTCTTAAAATTAACACAATTAGTTTGAATCAGTGTTTCTCTGTATCAATAACAAAATACTGGAAGTAAATTCTCACATCTTCTTGCATTTAAATCTAAGCTTACAAATGAAATTCTAGAATAGTTATAACTGAAAAAAAACTACTAAAATTGGATAAATTGTAATTCAGCATTTTCATTTTATAGTTTTTATAGGATCTTAAAATAGATGAGTTAAAATCCACTGTAATTTCTGAACTACACTCACAACAAAAATTATGAATATTTGCACGGCTATTGTTAGTATCTAGTTACAGATTAGTCTACTAAATAATTTATACATTTTTGGAAATACTTTTTTAAGGTATCGTACTTTGATTTTGATATTGTGAATGATAGTACCCATAACTGGAATAACCTTCAATTGTGAATGAGTCAGATAACATATGCTATTTCTAGAAATATACATGAAGGAATTTATGAAAAATATGTTACAATTAATGTACCGTTAGTTTAAGACCGAAAAATATTAACCGTTATATAATGCAGCGTGTAAAATTCACGTGGACATTATATTGAAAATACTAGATTGTAAAAAAATAAGGAACATTAAAAACCATTTACCGTCTGATACTCGTAAAGCTATTTTTAAACTACACTTAAATTCTTGTCCAGTCAATAATAGTTAACTGAGACTTGAAATATTCCGTAGAGAATAAAAATTCACTTGAAATTCTAAGCGCCATGTTGGCAAAGGACCCATACATTCACGCCGAAATTTATTCACAAATATCGCAGAAGTACACAACACAAAGGCGATAAACTCATATATTTACAAAATACAGATATAACTAAAGGGTTTTACTTACGATATAATAATAAACAATGGCAATTTTCATAAGAAAAAACAAAACTTACCGTCTATCTTGCAAAGACATGTCTACACTCCGCGTTTAGCTAAACGGAAAAGACTGCTGAAGTGAAGTCAGGAGTGGGAAGTAATCTTACTACGCCCAGGTATATGAATACTCTTAAGAAGGGTTAAATAACTTTTTAATGGCTCTTGATGGGTAACTTGGAATAAAGTAGAATTGTTTTACCTGAAAATGTATACTGGGTTTTAAATCGTTTGCAAAAAAAAATTATTATTAGATGGAATTATTTTTTTAGGCGGCAGAACATGGCCGCTCTTCTGCTGTACTTCCGATCTTCCAGGCTGTCAAGACAGCCGCCAAAATTTAAAGTTCATATTCGTATTGAAATATGCCACTTGTTAATTTTGACAAAAATAATTTAATTTTTATCATTATATTGACTGAATATGATTTGTTATCACTTGATTTCGAACATTTCTTGTAATTTCCAAAGTTGGAAATAAAGTTTCAACTGATTTACTTACTTTATATTGACAGGTACCTATTTGATTGATTTTTTCAAAAATTAATCATATTAAAATTACTAGTCTTTGCCTCGAAAACATGTATTAAATACATAGTTTTCTTTTTTATAAAAAAGTAGACAGCTTTAGTTTTTTTAGATTTATTTTATTTTAAAAATATTTTAGATCACTTCAATTTAAAAAAGGCATAAAGTGTCTATATTTTTGTAGGTATTCACTTTGTAAGCAAGTGCCTGGGGACAAAAAATTGATTAAACTGGATTGAAAAGTTAAAATTTGGTTTAATAAATTTTCCTGAAGCTGAAGAGAAAGTAATTAGTTACTGTAAAACCGACTCTATGGACAACTGAGAAAACGAGGAAAAGAAGATCACACGTTTTTTTGACATATTAAAGTGGGGTTATGTTATTTAGATTTTATGATTTTAAATGTCTATAAAGCAACAAAAATTAAACACAATATTTGTATAGATTTCATAATACAAGTTAGATTTAAGATAATATATTTTAAACTTATGACTATTTTTTTGTAGAAAAACATGGACAATATTGAAGAACTTTACTGCTATTCAATAAAAGTTAAACTAGAAAATCCAAAAGCACCAGTTGTCTTTGATTATGCAGAAGGCTTAGTGTGTGCTATAAGTGACAATTTATTAATAGTATACGATGAAAATGATTCGTCAGAGACTGGCATAGTCCACAAAATAGATACACAAACAGACCGTTTAAAATATGTAAAATACTTAACAGTGTATAATATAGTATTCTTAGCAACAGAAAATCAGTTAATGTTATACGATATAGACCTACGTAAAGTGTTAGTCCGCCGAAATACTGATAAAAACATTGTAGAACTATCTTGGAATCCTTTAGAAACTTTATTTGTAGTGATAGATTTAGATAATGATGTTACTACTTATAGCTACACAAAAAACTTTATTGATCAAAAAGATAAAATTAAGTTGAGTGTACAAGCACCTGTACCAGTTCTTGTTGGATGGGGCTCCCAGAAAACACAGTTCCAGGGACCTAAACAAATAAGACATAGTGGATCTCTAGAGTTGAAAGGTATTGATAAGTTTATATCACTTGAAGCTTTGCTATGAGTTGTCATTCCAATTGAATCGCTTGTTGTTAAAAGGAACTAAGTCACATTTTTACGTTTTTGACTAAAACATGAAACGAAACTTTGAAGATATTCCTTTCGTTTGGTGTAAGAAGGTACCGATAACTACTGCTAAAATAGTACACAAGCAATATATTTAGATGGTTCCTTCTTACACCAAACGAAAGAAATATCTTCAAAGTTTCGTTTCATGTTTTAAAGTCAAAAATGTAAAAATGTGACTTTATAAAAATTAATAGTTACCTATACAATAATGCTATTTAAGGAACAATTTTATTTCTTAGAGTGTCTGAATCAGGGTTGACAGGTACAGGTTTTTTTAAGACAAATTTTACCAATTCACAATTTTACTAATCAACCCTCAGGAGAAAGGGTGCAAAAATAAGTGTACATATAAACAAATGCAAACATTTCATCAAAGGTTATACCACTTCTTTTTGATAATTATTATATTAATGGTAGTGACAATTAAAAAAATACCATTTATTTATTTTCACTTTTTTTTTCTTGCAAAATATAATTTTTTTAATATATTAAAATTATATTTTTCAAGTTTTGCTTGTATTTAAAAAACCTATAAAACCTTAAAAAACCTAAGAACCTACCTATACATTTTTTTTTTAATTCTTAGGTTTTTCCAACTCTGGTCTGAATACAACAAATTTATCTTGAGAGAACATGTATTTATAAGATTGTTGTGTAAATATTTTTACAACTCCTTATAGAACGTTTTATTGTAAACTTAGATTTCTATAACAGCTGTTTAAAATTTAACATAACTTTATAAGTATATAAAACTGTTGTAATCGAGTTATGTAAAAATTCAATTCTTTTTTATATTTATTCTATAATCTACTAATTTAAGCTATTAAAAACCATCTTATAAAAGTTTTATACAATGATGTTTAAAAATTAATTTAGGCAAATAACCCACCCTCATAAAAAAATCATTTAATTTATACCCCCAAATTAAATAATTTACCAAATATAGATTTTTTTTTTTAAGTTAAACAGTTACATATATATTAAATTTTTTCGAAATGAATGGCCCTTACTTTAGGCTTCCGTGACTCTTCAGGGATACAACTTAGTATATAGAGGTAAATTGCATTAAATCATCATTTTTTGGGGTGCCAAACATGCACCTGTTCTATGTCGGTTTTTAAGCTAAACACCCTATATGCATAGTGCTATTACAAGCAATTCTATAGAACTTTTATATCATAAAAAAAACAACCGCCCTGTGTAACTATTTTATAATTTTACTAGCGGGACAAAGCTGGTATAATATAATGCAATTTTAACTGCCATTTTACATAATTCACTTTGAAAAATGAAAATGTCAATTAAAAAACAGTTTTGTCTAAATAAGGGCATCTACAATGTCTCAACTAAAAAAAAAAAAATTTGGTTAAATTCAAAGTATGATTTAATTAACCAATTTTGCTCCAAACTGAGACATGTCAATTTTTTAACCAAAAGATATATTTTGTCAGTAAAATGGACTTGGCATTACATGTTTCTTCCTACCAGCTTGTTTGATGTACATAGAATACATTTAACTAAATATTCATTTTTAATGAGTTTTGTATGCCATCATTAAATTTGTTATTTCAAATTATGATCGTTTAATTATTTTCATTATAAAGAATAAAGAACCTATGCGATAATTTTATTCTAATATTATTCAATTAAAAAAAAATGATTCTTTAAAGTTTTGTTTCGGCTTTTTAATACTATTATAAAATATTTTTAAACAATATAAATGTTCATAAAATATATTTACTATTACCTACTATACAATATTTTTTTTGCAGTAATACAAATGTGTACATAAATTTGTTGTATACACTTATAAGATAATTTTATAATCATCTTTTAAAATTTCTGTATAATAGTTTTATAGTTTTGTTATAGAATACCTGTAGAAACAAAATGTTGTATAAATTGGGACCCTTTTTTGGCTGTGTTAGTATTATAAAGGGTGTTCCAAAAAGGTATGTCATAAATTCTTCTTCAGATAGATTACCAAAAAATAAATGGATTTGGCTATATTTACCTATATCAAAAACTGGCTCCTAAGTTACAGGGCGTTAAACTAACATTCATTTTGTAAAAAGTTTGCTGTTGCGATTTTTTCTTTGAATTTTTTACCAGTGCTGTAGATTTGAAGGCCCAATATTCTAAGGAGAAAAAAATTAAAGAGACCCCCTTAAAAAAAAGTTGGGGTGTTGGGTACCTTTTAACCCCCCCCCCCCGTATTTTATTGGCATAATTTATTTTTTTTTATTATAAATTGAACTTTGTATCTTTCTTAGTTAACGAGCTATTTACAATTTTTTAATTGAATTTCTAGAGCAATTCGTTCATCCTGGACTTAACATATCAACAAAACTAAGAGTAGGGCAGGAGTTATTGTACAAAAAACGCATATAAAAATCACTGGTGTGCCTAGGCCTGTGAGATTGAGCCGCCCCTGTAAAAACTACCTCTTATTTATATTTTTGTATTCAAGACATGTTGAACATTTACCAAATTAAATAGTTTATAAAATATGTATAATAATTATTGTCAAGTGTTTATTTTTAATTGTTAATTGTTTAATTAAAAAAATCTTTTTTTTAATTACTATTAAATTTAATAAATACATTTCCAAACTAATGTGTTTTTTTATCAGTGGCATGGTGAATCCATGAGGACAGGTGGCACACCATTTTTATGGTGCTAATCCAATATTATAAATACTTTTCTTACAAAAATATAAATAACAGCCCTAGGCACACCATTGATTTTTATATGCGTTTTTAGTACAATAACTCCTGACGTACTCTTAGTTTTGTTGATATGTTAAGTCCAGGACGAACGATTTGCTCTAGAAATTCAATTAAAAAATTGTAAATAGCTCGTTAACTAAGAAAGATACAAAGTTCAATTTCTAATAAAAAAATCTGATGTGTCCAACACATGACTTTCCTATCTAGTTTTTATAAGCTTTTTCCGGTTATTTTGTACAACCTATTGCAGCATCTCTATAAATGTTTAGAGGATAAACTAAATATATACATTGTCCACATACATCTACCTCGAAACATTTTTCTATAGATATTCATTGAAAACGAAAACTGAAAAATTTAAATTTAGCACTTTTCCATTACGGTCCATTTTAGAAAAATCATGTATAAACAAAAATTATAGAGATCGATATCTCAAACAACTTTTAGTCCAACAATTTTCATAAAAATTAGAATTTTGCACATTTTGTAAAATTTCTCGAATACTGACCATTTCAGGAAATTTTGACATTTAGCAAAAATTATAGATAATAATATTAGAAGTAACTTTTATTTAAACAATTTTCTTCTCCAAACATAAATAACAGATATATTCCATAAAATATAAAAACAGCCTCCCATAAAGTACCCCCCCAGATGTTCCGACTTTGTCCAAAATCTAATCATTTTATGTCAGGCCGAAATAAACCTTAAGTTTAACATTTAATGTTTTTTTCTTTATCCGTTTTTGAGTTTTCTTCAAAATTCGAAATTTACACATTTTCTCAAATATCTCGAATACGGTCCATTTTAAAGAAATTATGTATAGAATAAAAATTATAGAGAATTATATTACAAACAATTTTTATTTGAACAATTTTTATAAAAAAATATTTTTTTTACATTTTGTCAAATTTCTCGAATACGGACCATTTTAGGAAAATTTTGTATAGAACAAAAATTATAGGTAAATTATATTAGAAGTAACTTTTATTTGAAGAATTTTCTTCTCCAAACGTAAATAACAGATATATTCCATAAAATATAAAAATGACTACCTATAAAGTACCCCCCAGATGTTCCGACTCTGCCCAAAATCTAATCAATTCATTAGACGCTGGAATAAAGCTTAAGTATAAAATTTGGTGTTTTTCTGTGTATCGGTTCATGAGTTATCCGACACACACACACACACACACACACACACACACACACACACACACACACACACACACACACACACACACACACACACACACACACACACACACACACACACACACACACACACACACACACACACACACACACACACACACACACACACACACACACACACACACACACACACACACACACACACACACACACACACACACACACACACACACACACACACACACACACACACACACACACACACACACACACACACACACACACACACACACACACACACACACACACACACACACACACACACACACACACACACACACACACACACACACACACACACACACACACACACACACACACACACACACACACACACACACACACACACACACACACACACACACACACACACACACACACACACACACACACACACACACACACACACCACACACACACACACACACACACACACACACACACACACACACACACACACACACACACACACACACACACACACACACACACACACACACACACACACACACACACACACACACACACACACACACACACACACACACACACACACACACACACACACACACACACACACACACACACACACACACACACACACACACACACACACACACACACACACACACACACACACACACACACACACACACACACACACACACACACACACACACACACACACACACACACACACACACACACACACACACACACACACACACACACACACACACACACACACACACACACACACACACACACACACACACACACACACACACACACACACACACACACACACACACACACACACACACACACACACACACACACACACACACACACACACACACACACACACACACACACACACACACACACACACACACACACACACACACACACACACACACACACACACACACACACACACACACACACACACACACACACACACACACACACACACACACACACACACACACACACACACACACACACACACACACACACACACACACACACACACACACACACACACACACACACACACACACACACACACACACACACACACACACACACACACACACACACACACACACACACACACACACACACACACACACACACACACACACACACACACACACACACACACACACACACACACACACACACACACACACACACACACACACACACACACACACACACACACACACACACACACACACACACACACACACACACACACACACACACACACACACACACACACACACACACACACACACACACACACACACACACACACACACACACACACACACACACACACACACACACACACACACACACACACACACACACACACACACACACACACACACACACACACACACACACACACACACACACACACACACACACACACACACACACACACACACACACACACACACACACACACACACACACACACACACACACACACACACACACACACACACACACACACACACACACACACACACACACACACACACACACACACACACACACACACACACACACACACACACACACACACACACACACACACACACACACACACGTACGTCATCGCGAAAATAGTCAAAACGGATTCAGGGGACCTCAAAACGTAAAAATCCGTCGAAAACTCGAGGTCGAAAAAAATCATGATTCCTATACTTTCCTTATATCTGTATACAGATAGGAAAGTAAAAAATCAAAATTCATAGTTCTTTTTGATTTTAAGATCGATAAAGCAAGTTTCTTTATGTCAAAAAAAATACAGGGGGTTAAAATGTACCCAACCCCCCAAATTTTTTTAAAGGGGTCGCTTTAAATTTTTTTTCTCCTTAGAATATTGGGCCTTCAAATCTACAGCACTGGCAAAAATGATAAAGAAAAAATCGCAACAGCAAATTTTTTCCAAAAAAAAAAAAACGTTCTTCTGAATGTTAGTTTAACGCCCTGTAACTTTGTTGGGTGTCAGTTTTTGATATAGGTAAATATAGCTTATTTTTTGGTAATCTATCTGAGGAAGAATTTATGACATACCTTTTTGAAACACCCTGTATACAAATTTTTAAATGCATTATTGGATTTACAGATTGCTATAAAGGTACGTTTACATCTGACACTTCTTTAACGACATATAAATATCGAGTATCAGGAGTATCAGGCACAAACTTACACTGACTGTTTACATCATGACATAAATTTCTTTTGTCACCGACATATAAATAATAATAATAAAGGTATAAATCGTTTACACTAGTTCTGTAACATATTTCATAATTGAAGTTGCAGCTAGTGTGATTTTTTTTAAATATACTCAACCGCAAAATTAACTGGACATTTGATTTTCGTTCCAAAAATATTTTTTGAAGTTATTCCTCGAGTATACACTTAAATTTTCACCTAATTAACCTGCTTATAACTTCTAAACAGCTGAAGGTAAAAAAGTGCAATTTTTTCTAAAATGTTATTTTTCCACAAGGTAGGTATGTTAAGAACATTGTGTCAAACGGGTTATGTAGGTATAAGGGTTTAAACTTTGACTTTTAAACAACGTTACGTTCATAAATAATAATTTTAATATAAAAACTACTTCTTACCAACAAATCCAAATCAGAATCGAAATCAGAAGATGAACTGTCGCAACCAATATTTACAATGAGTGGCTCGATCATTTCATCAGTAATATTGTCCAACTTCCACATTTTCTCTTCTTCTTTAATCGTATAATTTACTGCCTTTTCCCAGTTTTCAGGCTTCACATTATTTACAGCCTCCAAAAACAACTGTTTAACATCACTCATTTTAAAAGAATTATTTTTTCTTGAAACTTCTCCCTTTATCTGTGCCCATATCAGTTCAATCGGGTTTACTTCGCAATGATATGGTGGTGATCTAACCACCGTCATCCCACGATTTTTTGCAATTTCATCAATTTCATATTTTTTGAATTTCTCTTTATGAAGGGAACACAAATGATACAGTTCTTTTCTCACAGAACCAGGATGGAACTTAATATTCTTTGAATTTAGCCAATTCTGTAAATCTTTTTTTAACTACTTGGTTGTGGGCATTTTTTCTATAAGTCTCGAGTGATAACTTGCATTATCCATTACTATTATACAGTTCTGAGGAAGAAGATCTATAATTTGTTCGAACCACTCTTTAAAGACATCAGCATTCATGTCCTCATGGTAGTCACCGGTACGAGTAGATTCAAAAGTCACTAAACCACTTTTAACAAAACCGTTTGAACTACCGATGTGTACTATTATTAGTCTGCGCCCCTTTTCTGATGGTGGATTTAAACCAGTAGATAAATTATTTAAAAAAGCCTGTCTTCGACTTGTAACAGTTTCATCTTGCCAAAATTTATTTGGTTTATGTCCCTCGTTGATCAATGTTTCATCTAAATAAAATATATTTCTTCTTTGGTTTCTCATTTCTTTTATAGTTCTTAGGTAATTTCTTCTCCATACTACAATATCGCTTCTTTCTATTAAAATAGACTTTCTGGAATGCTTTTTCCATAGAAAACCTATTTCTTTTAAAAGTTTCCATAGTGTGCTTCGACTCATTTCAGGGTAATCCTTATCATCTCGAACCGTGGCAAGAACTTTGTCTACTGTCGGAAATTCTTTTCTAAAGAAGAACGCATGCACTTTCCTTCGAAGTCTTTCTTTCAAAAGATTTTCTAATTGAAATTTTGGTTTAAACTCGCCACATTTCTCTTCTTTAACAACTCTGTAAATCGTAGATTTCCCAACACCAAGCGTACTACTAACTAATTCCACTGTGTCATCAACACTTTTACATAAATGTTTGTCTGTAAATGATTTAAAACAATTAAATATTAATGTTTTTTTATTAACTGTTAAAGGACCGATTTTTTTTCGTTTACGCGGCCCTTCCAAATTTTCCATGATCACACTAGAATTCACACTGCACCTAGCAAGTTGCAACTAAACGACATTTAGTAAACTGTCAAGAATACACAACTTGGACCTCCTTACTAAATGGAAAACCTATAATCGCATTTTCGGTGAAATTTGTTGGGAAGGTATTTATCTACTTATAATTCGATTACTGTAAGAAATGCTTGGAATTAAAATAAAACAAAATTGGCAAATAGGTACTTATCTTAAGATACGGCTATGTAAACTTTAATACACAGGGCTTTGGCCTGCCCAAACCTTTTTCTATTGTTCTGTACAGCTTATGTTTATAAAGGACCAATAAAAGACCCAAAACTTGTAATAGCTCAGGTACATTTATTACAATTTTAGGAAATATTTAGATTATTCTGTAAAAATATTTAAAATGACTGTACTAAGTTTTGCATTAGAAATGCTGTTTTATTACTCTCTCATACATAAAAATAGACTATAGCTGCGTTCTATACCATAATTCAGGGTGGTTATGATAAATAATTATTAATTCTTCAATGTCACTTCTTAACCATTTCTTTTTATGCCAGATATATTAAGCGACACTAATCACAAACATATAAGACTATTTAACTTTCGCAATTTCTGTCAGAGAGGTCGGAACTTATAGCTAATAAGTGTTTACATTAGTTCTAAAATAAGTGTCGATACATATTGCCGAACACTCATACATATATCTGTGACAGAAATTTTTGTGTTTACTAAATAACTGTGGGGACATAAATCTCATGCAATAAATGTCAGATGTAAACATACCTTAAAATATGTTCTATAATAGTTCTAACAACCTTTAGAGTGATTTTTTTGCTTGCTGGGTATGAACCACTCTGTATGTTTATAAACACTTCCTTGTTACTTCTAGCACAGGACGAAACATCCAGAGCACCTCCAAAAATATCCTGGAGAGGAAATAGTGAACTGTTTGTTGTAAACTACCTTCAGGATGACCAACGTTTTCTCAAAGTTTTCAATACTGAGCTGCAACCACTGAATATGTCAGAAGCTTATTTAAATTTACAACAACCTGTTGCATTTATGGGCCAGGGACAATGTATTGCATCTTGTGCAGTAAAAAATGGACAAAACCAGTTAGTTATTTTCGAAAAAAATTGTAAGGTCAAGGCGGAGTTTGATTTGCCAAATATACCGGTAAGATTTTGATGCAATAATTATACAGATTCAGATTATTATAATAAAGTTTAGTTATTATCCAGTATCCTCACGATTTCATTTCAAATGGGTGCAGTGATATGCAATGCAATACATTTTAGTCCAATTTGGCAACGTTGCACCTTTAATGTTTCATTTGTTAAATTTGGTATAGTTTATCAGTAGGATATTAAGTTGTCAGTGATTTGTTGTGGTAGTTACTTTATCGGCTAAATGTAAATATATTTTTAGATTTTCAGTAATTCCAGATTTATTAATTTTTAGAAAGAATAAAAAGACTCGTTTGCTTTGTTGTTAAATTAATTTTTTCGTGTGGCGCCATTCTACATAATCCCTTAAAAATGTGCAGTCCAAATTTAAAAAAGAAACTTTATTAACAAGTTTGAAAACTTGAAAATTTTTTAGAGTCAATTTCAGTCACACACAATGTGCTCGTCTTCTTTAAAATAACATTATTGGTGTGAAATTTAACAAATTTAATAACATGCTATGGATCTTTTCATCGGAAGACATATTACCATTGTAAGAGCTTTCGCCATCTGTCAGTTTACATAGCAAGTAATAGAAGCAGCATTTTATTTCAAAGGAAACTGTAAATTTCTGTTTTTTTGCAATCTGTCTAAGGTTACGGCATTAGCATAAATGTCTTCTTTTTTCCTTGTATTCTTCTATTGTTGTATGGGTTCACTTTTTCACTATCTACCCAGTGCCAGTATTTAATTTTTAAAAAAGTTTATTTTACAAAAATCAGTCATAAGAGGTCTAATACGTGCTTCTTGGCAAGCCAGGTAGTAGGCCAGTTATTAAAGATACGCAATTAACATTAATTACAAAAGTTTTCAAACTTTGTTGGAATCTTTATTATTTTGAAATAATTATAAATTTAATTTTGCAACTTTTTCTGGAGTCTGGAACATATTAATAACTAGCTGTTGCCCGCGACTTTGCTCGCATGTAGTCGTGTTATTAATATAAAAAATTACATGACTTTTTTATTAATTTTTATTAGTTTCATTTTTATTAATTTTTATTAGTTTCATTTTTATTAATTTTTATTAGTTTCATTTTTATTAATTTTTATTCATTTTTATTAGTTTCATTTTTATTAATTTTTATTCATTTTTATTAATTTTTATTCATTTTTATACATTTTTATACATTTTTATTCATTTTTATTCATTTTTATTCATTTTTATTCATTTTTATTCATTTTTATTCATTTTTATTCATTTTTATTCATTTTTATTCATTTTTATTCATTTTTATTCATTTTTATTCATTTTTATTCGTTTTTATTCGTTTTTATTCGTTTTTATTCGTTTTTATTCATTTTTATTCATTTTTACTAATTTTTATTAATTTTTAATAATTTTTTTTTAATTTTAGTTTATTTTTATGATACTATTATACAATTAAAAATCACAGATCATGTCATTATTTATTTATGTTACAATTATAATTTTCAAGTTCTAACGTTCAAAAAATTTATACTGCTATACAAATTTTCACCCCCTTAAAATGTGAAAATCCCAAAACCATGAAACACATCATTTTTGATTTTTAATTAGTAGCTGTAATTAAAATTTTTATGTTTCAAACTTTAAATAACAAAAAATATATACATAATATTAAACAAATTTTCACCCCCATTTCCCCCCCCCCTTAAAATGTTAAAATGTAAAAACCCTGAAACACTTCATTATTTATTTATGATGAGAACCTACAATTTCAATTTTCAAGTTTCTACCTTTAAAAAAATTGATATTTCCAAATAAACTTTCACCCTCCCGTTTCCCCCCCCCCCCCCCCCCCCAATTTTCATGTTTCTAATTTTAAAGAGATCCGAAAACATGGAGACTCCCAAATAAATTTTCACCCCCATTTCCCTCCTCAAAATGTGAAAATCCAAAAACACTGAAACACGTCATTAATAATTTGTAGTCAGTAGCTGCAATTCCAATTTTGTTGTTTCTAACTGCAAAGGGAACAAAAAAATCGATAGTCCCATACAAACTTTCACCCCCGTTTCCCACCCCTTAAAATGTGAAAATCCAAAACCCTGAAACATCTCATTATTTATTTATGCTTAGTAGCTGTAATTTAAATTTTCATGTTTCTTACTTTAAAGAACAAAGAGTTTCATTAAAAGCTCCCTCTCCCCATTTCCCCCCCTTTAAATTTAAAATTTCCAAAAATCCTTGCTTAGCGGATGCCTACCTTATAAAATAAACCTGTTTCAAATTTCAGCTTTCTAGGCTCAGTAGTTTTGGCTGTACGTTGATAGGTCAGTCAGTCAGTCAGTCCAAACAATTTTATATATACGGAGTGGCCCAAAAGTCTGGAAACGGCCAATTATCTCGTAAATTGCTAATCCTATTTGTACAAAATTTGGGGTACACCTATTTTGTGATACGGAGATTTCAGATTTGATATTTGCAATGTTGCCAAATTTGCCGTTTCTCTTATATTATTAGTCACTTTGGTTTTTCAAATTCATCACCCTGTATATTCAGTCATTATTGGAATCTCCTATTCAACACTGCGGCAAATTTGCATTTATAGGAAGTATTTAAATTGTTCTATAAAATTTGCAACACTTTTCTAAGTTTTTTGCCACTGCAAAAAGTACGAATTTTCGATTTTTGTTAATTTTTCAAGGTTCCCGACCTTATCCGAGGTTGCAAATTTAACAGATTGTTAAGAATAATAATATTTTTTTCTTTGTAGTTCTTGGATTTTTAGGTGCTAGTGAGAAATGAAACTCGCGAATGTGTGGGTAAAGCTTTCGGCACTGATCAGTGCCTTCTTCAGTAGTTTTTTTATTTGTAAATTATTATTTTTTTTTGGCAATAAATCCTTGTTTTTTTAAAACATCAAAAACAGTTCTTTAGTTTTTTAAACGTTTAAAAAACCAAATTAAATATTTTGAATCCGGACCTCTATGAGGGCCCGTGAGAGAAGAAAAAAAGGGTGCTAACACCCATACACTTGAACGGACATTAAAGCACCATATCAACGGACATGACAAGGATAGTGGAAATAAACATATAATAATATAAAAAAAAAAGGATTTTAAACTTATTTTAATAATTATAACGACACACCCCAACTTTGTACTAAAGAACTGTCTTTGATGTTTTAAAAAAAACAAGGCTTTAATGCCAAAAAAAATAATAATTTACAGATAAAAAAAAAAAACTACTGAAGAAGGCACTGATCAGTGCCGAAAGCTTTACCCACACATACACGAGTTTCATTTCTCACTAGCACCTAAAAACCCAATAATTACAAAGAAAAAAAATATAAATTAAGGTGTAAGAAAAAAAAAAACTTTAGAAAAGGAGACTTCCTTTTGTAAAGTACCAATAATAATAATATTTTTCACCAATTTTCAAAACTTTTGCATTTTTTTGACAAAATTATAGGAAAATAAATAAAATAATAATAAAAGTACTTTATTGGTTATAAATTTTACAACCAAATGACCATCGACCTAGGTCCTTCATGCAGTACAATTTGTATGGTATGTGTGAGGATTTACACGCTATAGGATTATTTAGATCAGAGGTTCTCAAACTCTTTTGTTTCATAGACCACTTTCAAAATTTCGCTACATCACTATCAATTTCTAAATCTCGAAAAAAAAAAAGTGAAGATTAGATATATCTATGGAAACTTGCGTTGTGGCTGAGAATTAACAGTTTTAGAAAAAAAAAAAAAAAAGGTTAGAATTGATTGCTTGATAGGGTTAAATATTTGATAATAAAGTCGACTGAACAAATTTTCAATTAAATTTTAATTGATTGTGCTGTGAGTGGATGTTAAAAAAGCAGAGTTTGTCAAACGTAAAAGTGACTCCATCCAACTTTACTTTTTTGAAATCTACAGTGACTCAACAAGAACCAATCAATTCTCACAAATTTTATTTAGAAAACGTCCCATTTGGAGTGGTAAAAAAAATATAGTATATTTCCGTGTATCGTAGGTATTTATTTAAATTTAAATATATAAATTATTACACTATTAATTATTATTGTTCTAACCGTCGTAATATAATTAAAATTAAACACTTATAAGGTAATGTAATTTCTACAATGGTAATTACAAAAAAAATATAATTTTAATGAGAGGGATGTACTTGATGGATTGACAGCAAATTATCAATATTTGGCTTGGGTTTTGTAAGGAATAACCGTAAATCTCCCCTTTCTGTGATATTCAATCTGCTCCTTTTTTTTGTTAATAGGTTTGTAACGGCACTAAAACTTTTTTCGACGAGATATGACGAGGGAAACGCTATCAGAAGCTTTTGCACAATTCTCCACAGTCCAGGATATTTTTCGGGTATTTCTGCCTGCAGCAATCATTTTTGATAACCTCTTTTAAATGTCACTTTCAGCTCCTCATTAGTGCTAAGCTCGAGAAGCTTCTCTTGTAATATCACATTCTCCACTTCCGTTTCATCTAATGGATTTATTATCCATGGTGGTATTTCCATCGATAGAATATCTTCAAATCTGAATTTAAAATCATCATGCAGGGCAATCAAATGTTGAACGTATGTCTGAATATCTTCATCAAGGCATTCACCTGCGACAAGTTTGAAAACAGTGAAAATTCGCGACGATCAATATTTTCCTTCATAAATTTCAATTTACCAAGAAAAGCTGAAATTGCACTTTGTTTTTATTAAATCCCCTTGTAATTGTAAGTTGATGTCATTCAATTTTTTGAATAAATCTGTCAAATCTGCTTTAAAATTGATCAAGTTTTTTTTTTAAATCAGGATCTTTACTTTCCAAAAACTCTAAAACTGAGTCAAAAAGTAAATAAAATCTTGATAAACATGCACCTTTCGACAACCAGCGTACTTCGGTATGTAACAGCAACCGTTGGAAGTCTTCATCATTTTCATCGCACAATTGTGCAAATAAACGCGTATTCAATGCATTGCTTCTTATTTTGTTAACTGCATTAAT